CGCGGAGCGGCTGGGCCCGTGCTATGGCCGCTGAGCCTGCGTGTCCGGAGCCTGTGCTCCGCAACGAGAGAGGCCACAACAGTGAAAGGCCCGCGTACCGAAAAAAATACAATAAAAAAAAATAAAAGAAGTCCTTAGGAAGTATTTCTGATATGCAGAAAGGCCTAGGAAATGCTATAGGTGTTAACACGTGTGTGCTGCCACTAAGCTCAAGAGAGAAAACATCAGAAATACAACCGCAGCTCCTGCTTAAAGAGCCCCAAACACTAAAGCAGAGCTTTGCAACTTGCTCCTATGCTTGGGATCAACAACAATTCACTGGGCCACAGTGAAACATAGCTTCTGTGTCTGATCTGGTAAGACACTGCAGAGTCGCTATGGGCCTAGGAGATTGCTAACAATTATTATCCCTATCACTGCATCTTTTTGCATCCAAAATGCGTCCCCAGCTGCAAGATCAATGTGGGCAGGCCAGTGTGTGGAGTTGGAATTTTGACTTCAGCCCACTGAGCCCCCTTCTCATCCTAATGATAGCCACACTGTCAAGTTGAGGGGTGTTGTCAGGCCCAAATTATGAAGTAATGCCCAGGCCCATGGCGTTCCCCTGTGCCCAGACCTCCTGCAGGGCCACCATGCCCAACTTCTTCAGGTCGTGCTGGCTCTTCCTACTGTAGGTGCCCTCTTCAAGCTGCGTGGTATATTACTGACCTTAGACCCTCCCTCAATATTTGTGATTAATCAATAACTCCTAAAATTTTTGAGCACCCCAAATGTATCAGACATTTTATATAGTTATTGCAGCATAAAAAATTACTGCAGAGCATGTCCCAGTCTTCTGTGATGAAAGGATAACAATAACGTTATACCTATTTTGCAGGTGAGGAAACTGAGGCCTAGATGGGTTGGATCCTCCAGTGGTGGAAACACAGGCAGTACCGAAGGGTTGTACCAAACTTGCTGAGAAGGTAGGATTTTGAGGCATAGGTCTTCCCCAGACCTTCCACTGCAGGCTGACTCTGTTTTCTTGCCAGGCTGGCCTATCCATTTATTTGGTTGTCTTTTAGCCACTCGTGGTCACACCACATTGTTCAGTGGAGGGACCCAGCATGGCCTTCATCTGGGTTTCCTGTGAGTTCCACTCCAGCACCAGCTGCAGCCTCAAACTACCACAAGGTACAGTCTGGAAGAACGGACTACTGCTTTTGCTGAGCTGTATCACCTGCGACTATGAAAGTCTGATAGAATAAACTAGAATATTTACTAGAAACATCCATGGATGCTTTGCATATATTATTATCTTACAAACATGAGATTCTTGACTCAGTCCATGTATGTGGCTCAGCATCATTTGCAGCTGAGCCTTCTGGGAAGTAAACCTGTAGACAGGGGCAGCAGCAAGCCAGAGCCACCATCTGGGTCATCAGGTGGCCCAAGGTTATCCCCTTCACCCCACACCTCTGCCTGGAGGCTTAGTCCCCTGCCTTTGGCATCACCTGGGGATTACTTCTTCTTTGTCTTATAAATAGTCAAACACATGCCTAGGTTAGCTATTAATCCCGGGGGCTTGCTCTGAGATTTCAGAATCATGTCTTCCTCAGACTGAGCACACAGCACACACAGCAGAGCTGACCAGAGTTAAAGGAAAAAAAAAAACCCCACAGAATGCCAAGCACAAGTCCAGTTTTGAGAGTGTGGCTGGCTTTGAGAATTGATCAAAGAGGGAAGTGTGCTAAAAACAGCCCTCAGCACGCAATCCTGTTTACATTATCCCGTATAATAGAAACCTGTTTATATTACCCCTCCTGCCGTGGAAGACTCCACCGCTCTCTGCTCTCTGGTAATTCTTTGTGGCGAAAGGAAACTTCTTCCATTTGGTCAGGAGGTTTTAGGGCCCAGAGAAAGGGAGGAGAAGGGGATAGGAATAGAGAGCAAGGGATCCAGGGCAGGAGGATGGGCTATAATTTATTTCCAAGAAATAAAAAAGGATTAAGAGTACAGAAAGAGCTGTGCCACAGAGTCGGGAACACTGACGAACAGCCTTCCTTCTCAGCAAATTAAATTTCTATTGCTCTTTTTTATTTTTTAAGCATCCAGTTTAAAACAAAGGCTTAGAAAAAAATGTCCTGCAGTTTTCAACTTGATGCAAAACATAAACAAACACTGTACTGGACACAGCCCAGCTGCAGGGAACCCAAAAGGCAACCACCAACAAATGAAGCTTTACTCTTGGGCCTAATAAGGACCCAAGCTTCTAAGTTGAGGACACATTTATTTCACTCGCAAATTTTGGTTTTAGCTTGTTGAGCTCAAGAGCAAAATGTCTTGAGAAAAGCCCTCAGGGGCATTGATCCCAAGCAGGGCCCCTCCTGGAGGTTGGTGGGAAAGGGGAGAGCTTTGCTCGTTTCTGGGAGCTCTGCACTGTTTTGTCCCTGGTTTTTAAAAGGAGTCTCCTATGTGCTGCGTTCATTGGTGTAAAGTAAAGCTTGTCTCACCCAAGGTAAGTAAAAAATACATCCCCACCCCACCCAGATGCTATGCACCACCAAGGAGGAAGAAAGCAAGTGCTGGGAGAGTGTGTGCTCAGTAGGGAGACCAAGCAGTTGGGTCATGGCCAAACCCATGGTGGCTAGAGGTGGGCACGGGGTGTGTGTTTCCTATTGTTGCTGCAATAGCTATCATGGGCGTAGTGGCTTAAAACAACACAAGTTTAATTTTCATTGGTTCTTTTCAAAAACAGATTTATCGAGATATAATTCACACACTATACAATTCACCCATTGAAGGCATACAATTCAGAAGTTTTCAGTATATTCACAGATATGGACAACCATCACCATAGCCAGTTATAGAACATTGTTATTGCCTCAAAAAGAAACCCAGTACCCTTTAGTTTTCACTCCCTTACACCCCTAAAGCCCCTGGTCCTAGGCAACCACGAATCTAGTTTCTGTCTGGGGCTGGGGACAATGGCGTGCTTCCCTCTAAGTGATGCCCCTGCTTTCGAGCTGAGTGTTTGGTGGGGCTGTGGGTGGGCAGTAGCCTCAGGTTTCCTAGGCTTGCCTCTCTCAGCATGGAACTCTGCCGCAGGAGTCTGGCAAGGCAATCAGGCCCCGATGCTCTCGATGCACCATGCCAGGGGTGGAGCCCCATCCCACAAGTGTGGGCCAGGCAGAGGAATGAGGCCCCAGCTCCCATCTGCATGTCCCCCCAGAATTTGGCCTTGGCAACAGGAAGCTGGGGCAGGTTTAGAAATGCTGACATCTTGCCTCTCCTGGGAAGATAGCCCTCCGTCCAGGAGCTGGGGGAGAGGGAGCCCTGTGTTCTTGACTTCACCATTCTGGAGTGGAGTTTCCATCATGCTGAGCTGGAGGTCCAAAGTCCAAAATCAGTCTCACTGGTCTAAGTCAAAGTGTCAGCAGGGTCAGCACTTCTTGGAGGTTCTTGGGAGAAGCCATTTCCTTGCCATTCTAGATACCACCTATATCCTTAGGCTTGTGGGCCCTTTCTCCATCTTCAAAGCCTGCAGTGTAGCATCTTCTCTGCTCTCTGACCTCCTGCATCTCTTATAAGGAACCTTGTGTCACATCGGGCCCACCTGATAATCCCGGTTAATCTCCATCTCAAGACCAGGAAGTTGAGATTGGTTCAAGATGGAGGACTAGAAGGACATGTGCTCACTCCCTCTTGTGAGAGCACCGGAATCACAACTAACTGCTGAACAATCATTGACAGGAGGACACTGGGACTAACCAAAAAAGACACCCCAAATGCAAAGACAAAGGAGAAGCCTCTATGAGATGGTAGGAGGGGTGCAATCACAATAAAATCAAATCTCATAACTGCTAGGTGGGTGACTCACAAACTGGAGAACAATTATACCACAGAAATCCACACACTGGAGTGAAGGTTCTGAGTCCCACGTCAGGCTTCCCAACCTGGGGGTCCGGCAACGGGAGGGGGAATTCCCAGAGAATCAGACTTTGAAGGCTGGTGGGATTTGATTGCAGGACTTTGACAGGACTGGGGGAAACAGAGACTGAACTCTTGGAGGGCACACACAAAGTTGTGTGTGCATCAGGACCCAGGGGGAAGGAGCGGTGACCCCCATAGGAGACTGAACCAGACCTACCTACTAGTGTTGGAGGGTCTCCTGCAGAGGCGGGGGGTAGCTGTGGCTCAACGTGGGGACAAGGACACTGGAAGCAGAAGTTCTGGGGAGTACTCCTTGGCGTGAGCCCTCCAAGAGTCCGCCATTAGCCCCACCAAAGAGCCTGTAGCCTCCAGTGCTGGGTAGCCTCAGGCCAAACAACCAACAGTGGGGAGGTTAGCCCCACCCAACAGCAGACAAGCAGATGAAAGTTTTACTGAGCTCTGCTCACCAGAGCAACACCCAGCTCTACCCACCACCAGTCCCTTCCATCAGGAGGCTTGCACAAGCCTCTTAGATAGCCTCATCCACCAGAGGGCAGACAGCAGAAGCAAGAAGAACTACAATCCTGCAGCCTGTGGAATAAAAACCACATTCACAGAAAGATAGACAAAATGAAAAGGTAGAGAACTATGTACCAGATGAAGGAACAAGATAAAACCCCAGAAAAACAACTAAATGAAGCACAGATAGGCAACCTTCCAGAAAAAGAATTCAGAATAATGATAGTGAAGATGATCCAGGACCTCGGAAAAAGGATGGAGGCAAAGATCAAGGAGATGCAAGAAATGTTTAACAAAGACCTAGAAGACTTAAAGAACAAACAGAGATGAACAATACAGTAACTGAATGAGAAATACACTAGAAAGAATCAATAGGAGAATAACTGAAGCAGAAGAATGGATAAGTGACCTGGAAGACAGAATGGTGGAGTTCACTGCTGTGGAACAGAATAAAGAAAAGAGAATGAAAAGAAATGAAGACAGCCTAAGAGACCTCTGGGACAACATTAAACACACCAACATTCACATTATAGGGGTCCCAGAAGGAGAAGAGAGAGAGAAAGGACCTGAGAAAATATTTTAAGAGATTATAGCTGAAAACTTCCCTAACATGGGAAAGGAAATAGCCACCCAAGTCCAGGAAGCGCAGAGTCCTAGGCATGATAAACCCAAGGAGAAACATGCCGAGACACATAATAATCAAATTGACAAAAATTAAAGACAAAGAAAAATTATTAAAAGCAACAAGGGAAAAACAACAAATAACATACAAGGGAACTCCCATAAGGTTAACAGTTGATTTCTCAGCAGAAACTCTACAAGCCAGAAGGGAGTGGCAAGATATATTTAAAGTGATGAAAAGGAAGAACCTACAACCAAGATTACTCTACCTGGGAATGATCTCATTCAGATTCGATGGAGAAATCGAAAGCTTTACAGACAAGCAAAAGCTAAGAGAATTCAGCACCACCAAACCAGCTCTACAACAAATGCTAAAGGAACTTCTATAAGCAGGAAACGCGAGAAGAAAAGGACCTACGAAAACAAACACAAAACAGTTAAGAAAATGATAATAGGAAGATACATATTGATAATTACCTTAAATGTGAATGGATTAAATGCTCCAACCAAAAGACACAGGCTTGCTGAATGTATACAAAAACAAGACCCATATATATGCTGTCTACAAGACACCCACTGCAGACCTAGGGACATATACAGATTGAAAGTAAGGGGATGGAAAAAGATATTCCATGCAAATGGAAATCGAAAGAAAGCTGGAGTAGCAATACTCATATCAGATAAAATAGACTTTAAAATAAATAATGTTACAAGAGACAAGGAAGGACACTACATAATGATCAAGGGATCAATCCAAGAAGAAGATATAACAATTATAAATATATATGCACCCAACATAGGAGCACCTCTCAAAACATAAGGCAACTGCTAACAGCTCTAAAAGAGGAAATCGGCAGTAACACAATAATAGTGGGGGACTTTAACACCTCAGTAACACCAATGGACAGATCACCCAAAATGAAAATAAATAAGGAAACACAAGCTTTAAATGACACAATAGACCAGATAGATTTAATTGATATTTATAGGACATTCCATCCAAAAACAGCAGATTTACACTTTCTTCTCAAGGGCAAACAGAATATTCTCCAGAATAGATCACATCTTGGGTCACAAATCAAGCCTCAGTAAATTTAAGAATATTGAAATCATAACAAGCATCTTTTCTGACCACAACGCTATGAAATTAGAAGTAAATTACAGGG